GCAAGATTTAAATTATTCATTTGAAGCATATGTGATGTTTAGAACTTTAGCTAGAATTATAATTAAAATCCGAATCATTTTCGATATTCAAAGACATTTTTTTTTGAAAATTAAAAAAAAATTGAAATAAAAATAAATTTCTTTCCCAAAAACAACAAACAAGCAGAAAGTTTTTTAAATCATTCAAATCGGATGCTTAGTTTCCTCAAAAACTGCAAATCTTTGCTTATTTAGCTATATATCTCCGAAAAGGCTGGACGTGCTTTTGCCAAAATCCAATCATCTCTTCTCTCCCCATCATTACGAATCGAATGATTTTTGGATCATTAAAATCGGTTGATCCATTCTCTTGAAAACTGACATTTTTAGAACTTTTTGCTCCATATCTCCGAAGCTGAAATGGACCTGTCTTCGTCAAAAACTAATCAACACGTCTCCTAATCAATAGGAATTGAATGTTTTTTTAACCATTTAAGTCGGTTAATAAGCCCAAAATAGTCGACGAAAAATTGTCTCCACACATACACACACATCTATTTTTTCTGAAATATGCCAAAATGTTCAGACACCTTTGAAAGTATAAATATATGCAAAAATTTTCATTTTCGATGGTTGTCCCATTGATATAACTTAGAAGTTAATTAGTTTATTTTTTATTTATATGATGGCAATTTTTTGCCATCGTTGTTAATAATCTTCTCCTAATATGCTCGACTTACAACTCAAATTACAACACTTGTGTATCATTATAACCATTAACATATAATTAAACTGAAAAATAAAAAAAACACTTTGTCTGATATATGCCAAGAAAAAATATTCAATGATTTACTACGATTAAATAAAATGCACCTAACTTTTATTCAAAATACGATTTATTTTTTGTCTGCCAGTCAGACTCAGTTATTCGAACGCTGGACTTCTTTTTCTGCTTTGGAAGTAATATTGAAAAATGATTTGTATTTGCGTTTGGGCGTTCGTTGAAAATAGCATGTAATAAACAAGGGAATAAAATGATGTACGTATGTGCCTTATTTTCGCTATAAATCATTGAGAATCTCGCTTAGCGTTGTATGGACTGAAAATAACAAGATAATATAAGTGTCGATAATAGATAGGTACCCAAGAGCAATTGGCTTACATGACTTCTTCACACTGATCTTGCAATATTGGTAGATCGAATTATTTTGTAGCCGAAGAAAGCACACCAAACTTTCTATATATTTTATCCGATATTATTTCTGTTTAAGCTCTGTTATGAAATAATTAAAATAGCCCCCAATTTAGTTTATACTAATAATTAGAAAACCAGGATTCACAAGATTTCTCGAAGCGCGTAAGTGCCGCATAGCAGTCTAACTGATAAATATTGATACAGAACCCATTTTAGTCGACAATTTCGGGAACACCAATCAACCGATTTGATTAATTAAAAAAATATTCGATTCGTATTAATTAATTTGTGACGAAGGCAGGACTAGCCGTTCCGAAGATATGGAACAAAAAGTGCCAAAAACGGTAAATCAGTTTTTAAAAAAACAGGGCGCCCGATTAAAATAATTGAAGAAACATTTTACTTGTATTGACAAGATGAAGAATTGATTCAATTTTTGGAAAGGCAGATCCAGCAGTTATGGACTCTCAATAAAAATAATTTAAAAAAATGTCATTTGGCGGTCAAAAATGTTTATTGGACATATCAAATTTATAGTTAATTAATTAATAATGTGTCGGGTTCGATCCCAATCTCGGACAACTCTGTATCAAGCAGTGTGATATCAAATTTATACGGGAAGTTCCAGCAATTTGCCTTAAGACCATGTACCCCACTAGTTATAAATAAAATGTCAATAGTTTTTTTTACACTGGTCCAGTCAATACTAACAAATAGTATTCACCAAACAGATGAACATTAATCTTATAGTAATGTTATATTACTGTATTTATCAAATCTAATAAGTGGCATTTTGTATTTAAAGAAAAGGATCTTCGTATTCCTAATAAAAACTCGTGAACTCATTCTCTTAATGCCGCTTAAATTTTAAAAATATTTAAAAATTATCGTTATTTATTTATCAAATTTGAAATGTTGTTTTGGATGCATGTTCCGACTTGGGCTGAAGTGAATCCAAGCCAAAGCCCAGTATGGCCAAGAAGTCTAAAGGGCTGTTAATAATTATTGTGAATAGTTATTTTGGAATAACTATTTGATGTATATGTTTTTATAAAGTGTTTTCTTAAAATGCAAAAAATCAAATCACAGTGTTGTAAGATTGCCAAGATATGTACTAAGAATCTGGATAGTTTTGTGTCAAACACATGAAAAGCATTCCAAAAGATCAAAGCTTTCAAAAGACTATATTTCTCTTATTGAACAATATAAAACACTAGCCGTAAATGAATCTATCAAAGAATTTACAAGGAAAAGCATTTTTTTAATTCTATCAACTCATATAAAAATTATAATAAATAATACGAGGGTTTGTATCTTTCACTTTCTAACGTAAGTTATGCTGAATTCTAGTAACAGTCGACGTTCAGAATAATTAATGAAAGTCAACACTTAATTTTAAGTGCATCGACTAATAATTCAAGTCAAAATATTTCCGTATATAGCATTATATTTTGCGTCCAATATATATATTAGTAATCCAACATGATTTCCTTACAACTTTCAAAACCGTGCCCAATTATCGCTGCCCACCTGAAATGCCAAACAAGAGTGTTTGCACAATGTTTCTGTTATTTATATGGCGATAATACGTAGTTACAATTTCTTAGGAAAATGCTCCTAGTATAAATCAAAACCAATACCTCGTAGCAATATGAAAACTTAATTAAAATATTATTTATCGTTCACGTGGCTATCTATTGGCGAATAATGAACCTGTACCGATGCATCCACTGAATGGCAATTTGTTCGTGTTTTAGCGAGGTCTCCTGTGTAAGGCTACTTACTCATGATCGGGCAAGATTATAAATTTGTTTCTATTATATTTTGCCTTAAGTCATTACCGATTATTGCTTCAAATATGAATTTTGAATATAATATGATTGTGTGTAGAAACTGCCAATTAGAGGACAGCACGGTTGAGCAAATGTGTCTAGTCGACACTGATGACATTAAAAACAATTATCAACTCTTGTAATTGCAGATTTATGAAAACTAATTTAAATTAATGAATGGGGGCAAATGAATAGTTAATAATTCTTAACTTAAAGACATATTAAACTGTAATTCAAAAGTACTGTGAAAAAGTAGACATTAGAAATTTTGCTCCACAGTATAATGAACTAGTTGAAAGTGGCATTTTGCCTTAAGGCAAGTAGCAAAAACTTCCCGATAGGTGTAACAATTGGTTTAATCAACCGAAATTGAGATTTAGATGATCAGATAAAATTTTCAACTGTTTATTTTGAATTTTCGGCTTTTAAATTTCTGAAATCTCTTCAGCTGTTATTGAGAAAACATCGATTTAAGGTAAAAATTCTGTTCTATATACTTTTTCCAAATTTGGTGTCATTCAATTCAGAATGGCCGAAAACGTCGAAAATAAAAATTTGTTTTGATGAAAACATAAACTTCTTCTTCGGGAGGTCAAAAAACCTAAACTAAAAATGATCCTAACTAAAAATAGCTTTGGACTTATATAGCACTACCTTCTCTTTTTAGCTTAAAAGGAATAAAATTCAACAATTAACTGAGTACTTACTATTAGTTAGTTGATACTTGAGATTTGAGTTATTATTTGTGTAACTACCTATTATTTATTAACTTCCAATGGGGAAAGTTAAAGTAATCGTCCAAATATAGACAATGAAAATTTCTGAATATCTGCATGTTTCAAAGGTTTCTCAACATTTTGGCGTACCGTTAGCAAACTGGATGTGTGTGCTGTATGTATGGATACAATATTTCGTCCACGATTTTGGGCGCACTGATCAACCGATTTGAATAATTCAAAAAACATTCGATTTCTACCGATGGGGAAACCTGCTGATTAGTTTTTGGCATGGACAGGTCCAGACGTTTCGGAGGTACGGAACAAAGAGTGCAGAAAATAGAAATTGAGTTTGTAAGAGAACAGACCATCCGGTTTGAATAGGTCAAAAAAACATTCAATTTGCCATGATGGGGAGAAGAGGTGAATAGTTTTTGACAAAGAAAAGTCGAGTCGTTTTGATTTGAATGCTTGTGAATTGCTTGTGTTGACAGTGTGGAAAAGCGATTAGTTTTTGGGACAGACAGAAAAAAATTATCTCCAAATTATTATTTTTTACAATTTCTAAAGAATTTTTTCTTGAATATTAAAAATGATTTGGATTTCAATTTTGATTCTAGATAAAATTCCAAAGCTTACTTATATACATGAAATAATTTGAACTTTACAATTCAGTTCATATAATTCTTAGAAATATGAGTTAAGATCCTTCTTTCTATATTAAATTTTGTTTATTTACTTTTCATGTAACCATGTATACACGTCTTAGTCCAATTTATAGGCTCTTATATTTATAAGTCTATAAAATACGAATAATGAAAGTCATAGAATTTATAATAATTTATGTATTTTTGAAAACATTTGATATTTCTCTTAATATTGCATTATAGTACGGGAAGTTCCAGCAATTTGCCTAAAGACACAATGCCATGCACCACTAGTTTATCAAATTTACAATATAATTCTACTTTTTTTCATTAATAGAAAATCTACAATTATAATCACATGTTTTAACTTACAAGTTATTGAACTATTATATTTCATACCTATTATAATTTATATGAGAAATGTGCAAAAAAATATTTATGCATTTATTTAATAACAGTAAAAGAATACCCGACGTATTAAAACTTATCCTACATCTATGAATAATTAATAAGTTCCAAACTGAGTCTCTTGATATACCAAACTATAATAATTTCCTATTTCCAAATTTTTTTATTCAACATACTAGATTTCACATTTTAAATTCAATAATTTGATTTTATTTTATTTCAGACTTCTACACATGGATTCTACACTTCTGTGGTAAGTTTTCAATTATTTTTTAAACAAATATTTTTTATCTCAAAATTATATTTATAATATAATATAAATATAATATAATATTATGTATAACATTATAATAGTATTTATGAGAAACATACATAAATTTATGTAGAGATGCATCAACAGAAATTAAGATTTAAAGATTTTAAGATTAAGATCAACAGAAAAAGAGCGACCATAGTATTTTTGTTACATTCATGAACAATAATAATTTATGTTATTGATATTAATATATAATGAATTTAGATATCTATTATTATATAATATTGTAGATAAATAAATTATTTATGTACACGGTTTTAGAAGCTAGACTAAAAAGAGCGTTTTATCCCATGGCCGTGCTCGCCTATTATGTTTTCAAAGTATAATTAATAAAACGGTTTTACATTTTCCTGAATAAAACTTGTTTATTTATGTGAACAAACAATTGCTTCCTGAAGACAAAAGGGCTTCAGTTCTCCATTATTAATGATGTGATAGACGCGCCATATACATCCCGTGAGTGTTTATTTAATAAGTATATTTGTTTAAAGCTCTTATTGTCGACGGAGAATTGTATAAGGTATATAAAGGCAGACTTTTTCAAGATAATTATTTTTATTTTGAATTTTTATTGTTGACGTGGGATTTGATGTATTCGTATCACATCTCTGCACGGTGTATTAGTAACACTAATTTAGATAGTAATAATAGTGTTACTTATTAACCCTTTCTACTCGGATGCCGGCAAATTTTATATAAATTTCGTAATTTGCGAGTGGAAAGGGTTAATATCACTATCTAAAGAATTTCATTTCTAATTAATTCACTATCTGTCCATTAATATATGGAGATATTCAGTAATTGTTTTGTTAATTTAACAGATGATTGTTTAAGGTAACCCAGTACTTGTCCTTTCTAGTTGTCATATTTTTAATATATTTAACATAGTATTATTGACTTAATTCAAACAATGCCCCGTAAGCCTATATTTACTTGATGCCATATTTGAGATCTGTAATCTTATCTGAAAATCTGATATCACTACTGCTTGATTCAAGCTGGTCGGAGTATGGGTTTTGAAATCAGAATTAGTGGTTGCTACCACGTTCTTGGTGTTATAATTGTTGATTTGCTTATTTTGGGTTGACATGGGGGGCAGGGGAGTCTGGATGATGATTACGTCATAGGGGTGGTAAATAATTGTAATAAATCTGCTTACGTAATACTTTGTATAAGATCTTTTTCTTTTAATATTTATTTAACAGCAATCGAAATAATAACATAAGATTATAACAAACACATAGTACATAGATACAAAATACTTACGTACTATATACTTACTAACCATTTACCTCAACACATACAATACTACATATTATATTGCTTTAGGGGGGTATTCTAGTGTGGAAATACAAAAAATATCCGTTTTCATATTTTCAAAGTTTAACTATTTAAGATTATGTATTTGACGAGGGTTTTTCATAAATTAAATTATTTTAGGAGATACAGCTGGAGCTTCTGTTTCTTTTCTTTCGCAAAACTTTAAACGCTTTTTTTCAAATTGTCCTCGACAATAACGATTTTAGACATTCATACTGGACCGATTCACTTGAAATTTTTAGTGAAACTTTTTTATAGACTTTCCTAAATTTCGATTTTTATTTTTCAAAACATCGAGAAACTCAAAAAAATTGTAAAATAACATGGTCTTTATTTTTCAAATAAATGCCACAAAAAATTAACTTGTAACTAATATATTCCATTACGACATTATTCTAGATTAAAAATCTATTATTTTCATTTTGGATTACTAAGAAGGCTGCAATTGTGGGCATGATCATGTGACTATTTTTTGATAACTTCTAATTTATTAAATTTTTTTTTTTCGCTATTGTAACGTTGTTAAATACATTATAAACTAGTGTTGCATAGCGCCATGCCTTAAGGCAAATTGCTGGTACATTCCGTTTCATAATGAAATATTCCAAGAATAAAATTTAGTAAAAAAAAATATTTTTTTAGGCATTAAAAAATGAAAAAAAAAATCTTTTCGCAAAAACAATTGTTTTGTCAACACAAGCAGAAAGTTCTTTGAACCATTCAAATCGGATGCTTAGTTATCTCAAAACTGTGATTTTTTGCATATTTAGCTCCGTATTTCCGAAACGGCTTGATCTACCTTTGTCAAAATCTAATCACCATTTCTCCCTATCATTACGAGAATGTTTTTTTAATTCTTCAAATCGGATGCTCCGTTCTCTCAGTTTCTATTTTGTCACTCCTTTCTTTTTATCTCCGAAACAACTGGACCTGCCTTCGACAAAAACTAATCAGCACATCCTTATCAATAGGAATCGAATTAGGTTAAACCGTGCGCCCGAAAACGTGGACCAAAAATTGTATCCATACATACGCATACACACACACACCCACATACATACATTCAAATTTTTTTTATGTATGTCGAAATGTTCAGAAACCTTTAAAACATAAAAATATGCAAAAATTTTCAATTTCGATTTTTTTGACGATTACAATAACTTACCCTGCAGGAAGATAAAAAAAAGGATAGTTGTTTACATTTTGTCGTTTTTTGACTTTTTAGACTTGTATGTCTTAATTTTGGATATCGCAATCACAATATATATTACCATATATAAAATTTCAATCGTTTTTTTTTTAATTTTATTTGAACAGCGATCAGAGCTTATGGGTTCTATGAGCTGTTGTGATTAATATCTTACAAACTACGTTTGTTTTATTACAGATGGCAACCCAAACAGTTGTCACATCTCTGTATGATAGATTTTTATTACAATCTCTGTAATAGAGCAAATATGGTGCAACAATGCCGGCTGAGGGCTATTTTCACTTGGAAACATATTGCTATTTATATTTCCAAGTAAAAATCGTTGTCTCTTTTGCCTGACAACAGGCTGCTCGAAGTGGAAATTTTAATTGTGAAGACAAAAAGTATTCAATACTGAATTATTTCTTTAAAAAAACTATATAAAAATATATTTACCAACCATGGACCATAATTGCTATAAACGTAATGACTCCAAAACAATTATTCAATCAACGAAATTGTATCTGTAACAGAGATCGTGTGAGGTGAATCAGCATGCATTCGCAAAAAGTTGCACGGGGCTCATACATATTCGCCTTGCACTAATTACAATCCTCTTAAACTCGAACGCTCATTATATCAGTTTTATACCAACAAGATCTGTTTGCGGTGAATGTTTTCCTTTTTGTGCACGTCGCTTCAAACCAATATTACAACGTATTTGCTCGTATTTAACTGCTGTGCACCTGAATTGAATCGGACTTATTATAAATGCAATTAAGACAATCGCTTTATTACGACGCGTTTCGATTCTAAAAAGAGAATAACAAAAAATATATATTAATTCACGATCCGTCTTCGATGCTTTTGGCTTCTGTTCGTGATCTGCCCGCAATGCCAAATACGAGAGACGATCATTCGAACGATTTTCGACTCTCGATTGGTAGTATTGGTAGTATTAGTACCCTGTCCGACTGTTCTGTTGTGAGCCAATATATAATACTTCGATTTAATTGAAATTCCGTCATTAATACGGTTTGAAGGTAAAAAATTACCAATGCAAAGTGGCGACTCAAAACACGAAATGACTTCTTTGTAAGTGGCATTTTTTTATTAAACTTTCTTACTGAGGACTTCTTTGCCGGAATCTTAACTTTGATTGATTCGCAATTATGCTTGCGTGGAGAATTTAAATAATTTCGTAGTCAACAACGTTCAGTTCGACTTCTTAACAAATTGCAATCTTCCTAGTTTTTTAAACAAATCAACGATTAAAAGAAAATATTTTTATATTTTTACATTTTTTAACTTCCCGTAGGGTAAGTTATTGTAATCGTCCAAAAATCGAAATCAAAAATTTTTACATTTCTCGACGTTTTGAAGGTTTCTGAATATTTTGGCATACCTCAGAAAAAATGGATGTGTGTGTGTGTGTGTGTGTGTGTGTTTTGTATGTCCGCGTTTTTTCGTCCACGTTTTCGGGCGCACGGATCAACCGATTTGAATGGTTTAAAAAACATTCGATTCCTATTGATAGGGAGATGTGCTGATTAGTTTTTGGCAAAGGCAGGTCCAGCCGTTACGGAGAATGGAGCAAAGAGTGCAGAAAATAGAAAGCGAGTTTTTGAGAGAACGTATCAACCGATTTGAATGGTTTAAAAAACATTCGATTCCTATTGATAGGGAGATATGTTGATTAGTTTTTGGCAAAGGTAGGCCCAGCGGTTTTGGAGATACAGAGCTAAATGTTAAAAAAATGGCAGTTTTTGAGAGAACTAAGCGTCCGATTTAAATGATTCAAAGAACTTTCTGCTTGTTTCAACAAAATAATTGATTTTGGAAAAAAAAAATTTTGTTTCTAATTTTTTTTTTCAAAAAAATTTTTTTGTAATTTTGGATTAAAATTTCAAAAAATCACCCAGGCTAAGCCCAGTCTAAGCGCCACTCTGGTACAAATGTTTACGCAAGTGCGTTTAGACTGTTTATGTAATGGAGCAATTTTCCAGTTTTGTGAGAAACTATTGAAAAATGTGAAAATGCCGCCAAGCTAAGCACAGTATAAGTAAAAATGTCGCACAGAATTATTTGCAAATGCGTTTAGACTGTGACTATGCGGGAGCATTTTTTCAGTTTTGTGTAAATTTGGCAACTATTTTTTTTTTTGGAAATTGAATTTGAAATGAAATGACGATTGTTAATGTTCTGGAGATGATAAATTGATTTATTTATAATTAACTTTCCATAGGGTAAGTTATAGTAATCGCAAAAAAATCCAAAATGAAAATTTTTATATATCTTTACATTTCAAAGGTTTCTGAATATGTTGGCATACCTTAGAGAAAATTGATGTATGTGTGTGTGTGTGTGCGTGAATGTATGTGTGTTCGGATACAAATTTTCATCGACGATTTCGGGAACACGGATGAAG